CATCTGGGAATTTAACAAACAGGAAGTGGCATTTCAAATTTCAATTAAAGATTACAAGGCTTTCTTAATGGCATGCACAGATGAATTGTTCACCACAAAACTAGCAATGTGAGCTAACAAAATCAACACTAGTTTTGATTTCATGTGTACTTTACTGTTTTATGTGGAGAACTTGTCCACAGCTCTGCAGTTTTGGAGGGCCTGGATACTGATTCTAGGTTCTCTGAGGCCCTACCGCAAGCATGCAACAGGAATTCTCCATCCCACCCCCTTTCTTTCTTTCTCCGTAGTCTTCAAGTACTCCCCCTTTAGACTCATAGCTTTCACAGCCGCTCGAGACGTCGTCGCAAAGTGCTTGAGCAGATGGAAAGCAGTCTTTAATTACAGTGGGATCAGCTGACCGGCATGCAGACCCTCTTTCTTAGCAACGGCGAGGAAGAGGAGTAAATGTGTGTGTGTCTACCTTGTATTCCATAAGTTGTGGGTAGCAGATGTCCCCACAAGTATAGCAATACCAGTAAATCACCAACGTGTGGGGACATTTTTCGGTCCCTATAAGGAAAATAGCTGATAAATCACACAGAATGGAGTATTTTGTAGATGTAAAAATGCAGATTGTCTCCTGTGAGGGTTGGATTAGGTGTAGGGTTAAGGCAAGGGTATAGAACACACAGTCTGTACAGTATAAAAACCAAAACATTATGTCTATGGGAGGTCCAAATGAAGTTTGTGTCTAACTATTCCTGAAGTTGAGTGTACCAAATGTCCCCACAAGTATAGCATTACCAGTAAATGTTGACCTCATAGGGACATTTTCGGTCCCTAAATAAGTATCCTGAACATATTAAATTGCAGATTGTTGGTTGCCTGTGTTGGTTATGTTCCTCTGTATCAAGTTTCTTCGCTTGTGTTTTGTTTTTCCTGAACGCTACCTTAATGTACAAGTAGTTCAAACTTGCTCATTCAGAGGTGGGAACTGGCGGACTTGCAACATTTTTAAACTCAGGTATATTCTGAAAACATCGTCCCAAGGACGTTTCTGGAGACTGCGAAATACGTCTTGGGACGTACATATTTTTACATTTTTTTGTTTTCGGGATTCCACGAGAGGCCGCTGTGTGTGCTTTTTCGTATCTCAAATGTCTGTCGCGAGTCTTTCGCCAACTAATTTTACCGATTGACCTGCCCACCCGCTTACTTCCCTAAACCCAACCAACAATTTACAAAAGCCGTCCAGAAAAAGACAAAAAACTAACTGGACAAACTGTTTGCGGTGGGAAAGCCCTCCACACAGAGGTAAAGGGTCAGCCGGTAATCACGAAAAGGAATTCCGTCATAACGCCCCGTAGCGTTCGCTTAAAAATTAAATGCAGCCGTACGTACCTCCGGCTACATAATTCGCAGTCTCCAGAAACGCAGCGGGACTACGTTTTCAGAATGAGCCTGGGTTGACTTTAATCATAAGGTAAACACAAAACAACAGTCCCCATCTGGAGCTCCTTCACGGGACTCAACACTCACTCCACTGGGCTCTCAGCACTGCCCACACTCGTCAGCGCTACCAAGGCGACCAATCACAGAGGTTGCACTACGCGTTGTTGTGACATGTAGTTACATTTTTTTGAGAGGTGCGCATGAGCATTGGCATTACCCACGGCGAGGGCTATAAGACCACGTGAAGGCTGCACTAAACTATACGCGAACGCTTGACGCAGAAGTATAAATCAGGGGCAATAGAAAATACCAACACAGGTTTATTCTGAAAACGTAGTTTCGTGGACATTTCTGGAGACTGCGAATTATATAGCCGGAGGTACATATGGCTGCATTTAATTTTTTAAGCGAATGCTACAGGGCGGTTTGACGTCGTTCCTTTCGGTGCTTACCGGCTGACCTCAATGTGGAGGGCTTTCCCATCGCAACCAGTTTGTAGAGTTAGCTCATTGTGTACATCGGCGGACTTGAGATGCAGAGAGGAGCTGACGTCCAAGTCCAGGAAAGAGCAGTTTCAGTAATCAGGTAAGACAAAAACAGAATCGAAAGAATAAAGTGAACAGGGTGAGAATGATTATAACACGTTCATAACATGGTGAGAATATGGTAAAATCCGAAAACATGGTAAAAATAAGACGAGGACTTTTTTTTTTTCTAGACGGCTTTTGTAAACCGTGGGTTGGGTTTAGGGAAGTAAGCGGGTGGGCGGGTCAATCGATAAAATTAGTTAAGTTAAAAGAAGGATGAGGGTGGGTCAGTCGATTGGCCGGTCGCCCAGTCAATCTGATCCGATTCATACAATTCAAAGATTGGCATAAAGAAGAGAATCTCAGCTTTCCAGTGCTGTATCACATAACATTCGCGGACTTTCAGAGGCTCCGGAATCAGTGCGGTTACGTCATCAAAATTTGACAACGCTGATTTGACAAAGAAACGCTCGTCACTGTGTCTCCGGACAAACCAGACATGATACATTGATGCATTGTCCCTCCTCCATGCCCAGATTGGTTCAAACTCGCTATATCACAACCAATAAGCATAGGTTTCGCTTTTGTTTGTGAACCAACAACGAGCTTTTTGAACAACACGGAATGAGAGATAGGCATACATTTATGCGCGGCTAAATAAAACGCAAAAAAAAAGTTTTGCATGAAATAATTCTCATACTAAGTACTTTTGCATGCACAGCAGCACAGAAACATGACAAAACAGTGACACAGCAAAGACGAACTGCTGCTCTTGCTGTTTTCAAAAGACGCAAATGAAGATGCAGCTGTTTGTCTGCATTGCAGACAACCACATCCAAATCCATATCCACAGACAACCATATCCATGCTGGCACATAAAACCTAAGGATGTTCCATATTGAATCTAGTTTCGTTATGTAACTATTTATAGTATAGTAAATATTTATATCTATTTTTTTACTGAGGATTTGCACCATGTTTATTTGGACTTTATTTGGACTTTGACACATTATTTATTATTTTCTTATTTTTTTATTTGTTCATTGTAAGTGGTGTTGTTTATAGTAACTGAAAATATATTATTTGGAAAAAGTCAAATTTGCTTCACTGTTCTATTATTTTGTAACATTTGTAACATACCGTATACTGCGAAACCGTCAAACCGTGGTATTGTTTTAGACGATTATCATACCGTAAAAAATTCATACCGTTACAACCCTACTCCTAGGACATATTTCGCTGTCTCCAGAAACGTCCACGGGACTGAGTTTTCAGAATAAGCCTGTGTTGGAAAATACGGTTCGTATCAGTTCATATAGTATTAATAGAAACAGAATCGTCTCCACAATTCACATATACCTGTGTGTGAGAAAGAGAGAAAGAGTGTGTGTGTGCTGGTTTTGGTGGTTTACAAGGACAGAAATGTGTATGATCACATGAGTATGACCTAGTTGTACTGTTTTGATTTATGAGGACATGCCTTCGTAAGTCTAAAATCCTACTTACGGGGACTTTCACATTCAAAATTTGCCTCAGGTTTTCTTTGAGGGTTGGGTTCAGGAGTCGGGGTGGGGTAAGGCCATATAATAAGAGGATTATACTGTATACAAATACAGTAAATTATGCTTATAGAGTCCCCATAAACCACCAATACAACGTGTGTGTGTCTGTCTGTCAAAGAGAGAGAGTGTGTGTGTTTCAAAGAGAGTAAAAAGAGAGAGTGTGTGTGTGTTTGAGGTAATGACGGCGAGTTTGTCCAGTGTTTGCAGGATTTGTCTTGCGCAGTGACAGGGGTCTGTCAGAGTGCTTTATAATGCTGCTCTCCTGGCTGTGTTTGTGCTCTGGGGGTCCCAGAGGAAGCTGTTGCTTGTTCAGTTTACAGTCAATGGCTCCCTTCCTGCTCCAACCCTGGCCCCAAAGACTGGAGGCCATAGACCTGTGTGTGTCTGAGTGTGTATCTTTGTGTGTGCATGTTTGTGTGTGTGTGTGTGTGTGCGCGCATGCATGTGTGTGTTTATTTGTGCGTGGTTGTGGGTTTGCCTATGTGTGTGTTCATACGCTTGTGTTTGTGTGTGTGTGCTTGTTCATTTGTGTGTTTGAGTTTGTGTATGTGTGTGTTTGTGTTTACTCGCTTGTGTGTGAGTGTGTTTGTGTCTGCTCAATTGTGTGTGTGTGTGTGTGTGTTTGTGTATGTGTGCACGCACATGCTTGTGGGTGTTTGTGGGTGTGTTCATTTGTGCACATGTAAGTGTGTATGTGTGTGTGTGTGCTTGTTTGTGTGTTCATTTGTGCATGTGAGTATGTGTGTGTGTGTGTGTTCATTTGTGCATGTGTGAGTGTGTGTGCTTGTTTGTGTGTGTTTGTTTGTGTATGTGTGTATTTGTGGGTGTGTTCCTTTGTGCATGTGTGTGTGTGTGTGTGTGTGTGTGTGTGTGTGTGTGTGCGCGAGATTGTGTGCTCCAACCCTGGCCCAAAAGACTGGAGGCCAGAGACCAGTGTGTGTATGTGTGTATCTTTGTGTGTGTGTGTGTGTGTGTGTGTGTGTGTGTGTGTGTGTGTGTGTGTGTGTGTGCGCGAGATTGTGTGCTCCAACCCTGGCCCAAAAGACTGGAGGCCAGAGACCAGTGTGTGTATGTGTGTATCTTTGTGTGTGTGTGTGTGTGTGTGTGTGTGCGCGAGAGTGTGTGCTCCAACCCTGGCCCAAAAGAGTGGAGGCCAGAGACCAGTGTGTGTATGTGTGTATCTTTGTGTGTATCTGTGTGTGTGTGTGTGTGTGTGTGTGTGTGTGTGTGTGTGTGTGTGTGTGTGTGTGTGTGTCATTAATATTTGCAGATATCCTCAATAAAACAGCTCTTATATTGACAAGATTTTATTCAC